CCACTTGAACTTCCTCCCCTGTCTGCTGCTGCCTCAGGCATTCTCTCAGCAGCTCATCTTTTGGTGCCATCTTAGCGATGTACTCAGAGACTGTACAGCAGCCGGAAAGAGGGTGGACAGGGTCTGGTGAGTGTCAAAGCCACTGTCCTGGACAAAACCCAGAGCATCCAGGAGCCAAAGTGGTCCCAGTGGTGGTAGGAGCATTCGAGGCTATGACTCTTAAGGAACAACATCAGAGCTCTCTGTCCAGAAGAGTGTAGTGCTAGGAGCAGCTAAGATACTACACAGAACCCTCAAACTCCCAGGCCTCCAGTAGAGAACCTGAGATTGAGGAAGACACATACCACCCAGAGGGGTGAGAGGGGATTTATATAGATAGATAAAAATCCTGATTTCATAATGGTAAGAATATTTACTACCAAGCTTTATAATGATCATATTTATCTACAGGTAGACCTTGCTTACCGACTGCCTCATGCAGTGAACATTCAAAGTTACGATGGTGCTGAAAAAATAACTTTGCAAGCAAGGCACACATTTACAACCTTTGCAGCATCTCCCTCTGACACGTTTGCCATTAGTCAGTTAGTTCATGTTGTCCTGTGCCTGACTCATTTTCTTTTTTTCCCTCCTCACAGAGTGGAGAGATTGCTTAAACAAGCAATCTCTTTAGGCAATCTCTCCTGTGCCTGACCTGTTTTTTTTCTTCCCCCCTCCTCCTGAGCACACTAGAGACAAACAGCCAGTTCTAGTGCATTCCTTTCGATGTGTATTCCCCATTGTGTGCCTTTTTATTCTCTTGTAATCCCTTCCTCTCCAAAGAATGTAAATACAAACATTAATTCCCTTCTTGCTGATTATTCCAGCACCAGAGTGAGCATTCCAAAGGGCTGGGGAGGGGGAAAAAGGAAAGCTGAAGTACAATCTTAAGCACAGTCACGGTCATGTGATTTTCCACTTAGTGACTGAGTTGCCGGTCCCAACTGTGGTCGCTAAATGAGGACTACCTGTATTGATAAAGCAATCAAATTTGTGGGTCATCAATTTTATTGAAATTCATGTGGGTCTTTCTGAAAGATATTGCTATTCCATTCCTACTTCCATAGCAGGACTTTTGGGTAAGTCAGGTAGGAACAATATAAAGGTCTTAGAAAACAGATCAATGGATTTCTGAATCTCCCTAGCCATATCCTGTCATTTTAAAGTTTTGTCCTACATCCAAACAATGTAAAATTAAAAAACAGTTGCCAACCTCATTGATTTCTATATATGGAATTGGGGGTGCCATCTTGTCCTGCTCTGTATAATTCCAGGTTTTAATAACTGGAAGTTGCTATAGAGAACTGTTGCTGTGATAATCTGGTTTCCTAGTACATAAGCATTCCCATATAATAGTGTCACACTGGACCCTAAAGCTTTATATTTGTTTGCTTTCCCCCCTTCTTTATAAACATTTTGGCCAGTACCTGAACATTAGCACTATCTAGTGAGTCTCTGTGCCCTCTGAGGGAAGGAAGCAAAGGCAAAAGCTAAGGGATCAGTCAAACTGGCACACACTCTTTGATCCAAATCACTTGGGCATCATTAAATAACAAAATTATATAGGAGGATACCCATTTACAGAACTCTGAATCCTGACCCTGGAAGTTATTTTTCGTCCATGAAGAAAATCCTATGTTAGAGTAACTGTTTTGTACAGGCTGGTTTTTCCACCTCGCTGCTCATGATCTCCTTTTGTTTTGCTGTGAAAAAAAAATGGCGTCTCGATTTGCTTCTGTTCTTCTCTGCCCCCTCTAAAAATAATCTCTGCAAAAGGATAAGCCCAAAGTTGCTCACTGAGATGGGCGGTGACTAAATTTGAAATATAAACAAACAAACAAATATAATTTTAGAAGCTATAAATGGCACACTACCCACTGGTGCTTAAAGGATCTCTACTTTTCTGAAGGATGTGGGAAATGACCTGTTTCCTTTCAAGCCTTCTTGTGTTTCTCCCATTCTCATTCTTTAAAAAAATCCACCTAAATTCCCAGGATCCAATGAATTATTACAACTATTATTAGTAGTACATGGTCCTTGCCTAGCAAGAGACATGGTTTATAATCTTATTATCTACACCAAGTCTGTGAACCACAGTATGACCAACAGGCTCGGCTCTGCAAACAATGTGTTAAATTAACCAGTAGAGAAACTAAAAAGCGTTAGTTTTTGCTTTATTAAACTATTTAGAATATATAACACAGTAAATTTGAACCACAAGATTTCCTTTATAAAAAGGAAGAGTTTTAAACTCTAAAATATAAACTCTAAAATAGAGTTTAGCTGCTCTATTTTAAGTAACAGTAAAGAACTAGCCAAACATTAAAATGCTTGACATGGTATTCATAAAACAGACCCAGATGATCACTTAATGTTAACAGTGAACTCTTTAGCTTGACAATGGACTTTCTTGCTTCAGTGTGCCACATACATTTCAAAGATACATAATTGACTCTGGGCATGAGGGAAGAAGACAACAAGGTTTAAGAGAGAGGCACCTTAATCTTCCAGTCTAGAAAATGAACACATTTAAAGCACCTACACCAAATAAATGATGACTTTTGTAAACTTTGTCCTGTCTATTCCTGTTTCAGAATCAGGGCAGATATGAGATTCATAAAAGATGGCTTGTATATCCTAGGCATTACCAAATCCATGACTGGACATGGTACAATGGCATACTAGTTCCACCAACCTATTGTTTCAACAAAGTCTCTCAAAGGAAATCTATCCATGTACAGAACCATTTACTTTCCCATACAGGTAGTCCTTGACTTATGATGACAATTGGGACTGGAATCTCCATCACTAAGTGATGTGGTCGTAAAGTGCAACCACATTGCTTAGCGATGGCAAATCCTGCAGTCCTGGTTGCTGTTGTTAACTGAATCCCACGGTCATTAAGCAAGGCAACTTCCTGCCAGCTTCCCACAGGCAAAGTCAGTGGGGAAGCCAGCAGGAAGTTGCAAGTCCCAGGCCGGCAGGCAGGTAAGTGGCTGCTGCTGGGTCAGGAAAGGCGTGCAGGAGAAAGGCGCCATGTGGGTTGAGAAGGGTATGCAGAGGTGTGGCGCAGGTTGGGAAGGTGTGCGGGGGTGCAGGAGAGGTGCTGCACAGGTCGGGGAGGGTGTGCGGGGTGTGGCATGGGTCGGGAGTGGTGTGCAGGGGTGCCCTGCAGGTCGAGGGCACGTGAGGCATACTGCGTGGGTCAGGAAGGGTACGCAGGGGTGCTCAAGAGGTGCTGCACAGGTTGGGAAGGGTGCGTGAGGGTGCACAAATGGCTGGCACAGCGCAACCACAGAGGGACTAGGGAAGGTGCATGGGTGGGGGAGACTTACCCCAGTAACTTGTGACCTTCCCTGCCAAGCAGGGAAAGTTGCAAATGGCGATTGACCGCAGGGTGCTTGGCAACTGTCCATAAGTGTGAACAGGTTGCCAACCACCCAGATTGCGATCATGCAACCACAGGGGCACTGCAACGGCTGTAACTTCAAGGACTGGTTGTAAGTCCCTTCGTTCGGTACCATCGTAACTTCAAACGGTCACTGAACGAATGGTCCTAAATTGAGGACTACCTGTAGTATCCTGTCTTATGGATTTATTGTAGTGATCATCTACAGAAACACTCTCTAACATGACACCATCTAGACATGTTGGAACAGCAAATACTAGCAAACATATTTGCTGGAATTTAGGGAGTTGCAATTTCAATTCATCTAAAATGTGTGAAGTTAAGAAAGGTTGCTCTAGGGCAGCCTATTCCAAACAGATGCTCTTCAATTCTGCAGATTTCAGCTCCTAAAATCCCAGACAATATGGCTATTGGTGAGGATCTTGAAGGTGAACACACTGTATCTGGAGATTGCCCAAATTGGAGAAACTGCTTTGGAGTCCAGAATTATATGGAATTACCATAACAATAAGGATTACCATACGTACTAAGCATACCAGAATTACTTTTCAGTTTTAATTCTAAACCCCTGAATGACTTTTTTACCACTAAAAAATATACAATGATGCTGTGTTTGCCTCCCATGGATTCTAAGTTGAAAATTACAAGTGCCTTCTGTATCTGTCCCACCTTGACAGACAAACTTAATTAACCTTTGCTATTCTCTTCTAATCTACTGTTTTAGAAAAAAGCAGTGATTCATAAACAATATGTTACCATCAGAATCTCAATCATTGAGATACCATGAGATATAGCCCTATTAGCAGTATTGGAAAATAGATTAGCTTCTCCAAGAAATATGGATTATATTCATGTCACACTTGAGCTGTCAGAAATATTAGGTTACTTTTAGCATAAAACTGTATTGTATAATGTACAATATGCTGTCTGAATGACAAACCAGAATGGATTCAGGTTGCTGAGATAATTCAACAACATGTTAATATTAAATCCAATATTTAAAATACAATTGGCTATTTTATAGATTACTCATGACTAATTTAAAAATAATGTTCACATTCAATCAGTAGAACATCTCTAACAACATTCTATTGCTCTATTTCATATGGGAATAAACAAACAATTTATACAGGGCTTTTCAAGGCAGTTTTGAACTAATTCAAACAACATTCAGCAGAAATGATCCAGCAGTCTAATATTCCCTGCTTGGATCATTCCTATGTGGCTTCTTCTCCCAGTTGGGAGAGCTAGACAAATCAAGAAACTTCCTTCTGTGGCTTTTTTACCATTATGCTAAACAAATCAATATGAATCCTGGCTTGTGTCTTTCTCAACAAGCCAGAGCCTGATTTTGTTCTTAGCTTATGACTACCACCTATAGGAGAAAACAGTCCTGGTCTGGGCATAATGCTAAAGCAAACCATAGATGGGACCATCTGGTCTTGATTAGCCATTTCAACTGACAAGAAGAACCAAGTAGGAGTGATGGACTAGGGTGTACCAGCATACTTGCTCACTGGACCACTGGCCCCGTCTATTTCTCTTTTTTCATTTGCATTACTGATTTGTTTTCACCCTCTCCTTGATCTTCATCTTGGACCTTAGACTAACACACTATTTTTATGAAATATCCTGTGTAAGTATTAGGTGAAATACAAAGCTAGTGGAATAATTTTAATTTGATTTGGGGGCTTCAATACAAATCGTTTAAGAATCTGAAGAACTGCTGTTTTTCAGGTTTAGACAGAGATGTGGGGGCAAACTGTGGCCTTTAAGTTCCTTTTCTGAAGCCCTGAGAACCCATCCCTCAAACCATGATTGCTGAAAATGCAGCTGTACCACTGGTGTTAGTGCTGCCTGCAAACAGCTCATGCCTTGCTTCAGTGACTACAGTATATGGTGCTCAAGTTTGGGGCAGTTCGCCTTCCTCTGAAGCTTCCAACCCCAGTACTGGTGATTGCAGCAGAGGATGACAATTGCCAGGGCTCTAACTGGAGGCTTCAGGATTAGGGTTTGGGAGTGAGCTGTAAACAGTCTGAGGTCAGCATCAGAATCCAACAGGCCCTCCACTGAGATTGTGAAACAGCCCTCTGAGCAGAGAAACCAGCATGAGCCATGTCCACCAGCAGAAGATGAACACCTGCTGCTGCAGCCTCACAACTAGGCTGATCCAACGTGACCCACCACAACTGAGCGAGAAGGAAGAATAAATATGTTGTGCAGACAACTGTTATGGAAAGAAGAGGGAAGACCTGCTTGTGAGAGAAAGTGGGCAATTATTCATGGGCGGCCTTCTCTACAGTGGCCCCTGCACTCCAGAATGCTTTTGAGACACTATTATAACATCTTTCAGGCACTGGTTAAAAACCTCTTTCCTTTGCCAGACTCTTCCCTATATAAATGTCAGATGGATTCTGATGTCTTTTTGCTTTCCTTTGTTCCCTTCTTTTTTATGAATATGTTTTATACTATTTAATTTGCTACAATTATTTTGTTTTAATTCTTCTACTGTAAACAAATTTGACACTGTCACAAGTGAGAAATGGGAAAGAAAAATAATACTAATAGTTAAGTGTTACTGGTATCCATCTTGGGGGAGAGTGGGTACATTACTATTGCTTTTTAAAATAACTTGTAATGTGTCATAACCCACTCAGCATTAGATTTGGGCATGCTATAAAATATAAAATAAATAGATAAATAAATACCACTACTAATAGCAGCTATGCCACTATGGTTTGTTCAACAAACCATGGTTTAAAATCTTGAGTTAGCATTTCTATAAATGCCTCTTAACCTAGCCTTTCCCTATGCTGGGACTGACATTTTCAGACTTCGCAAGATTATGGATACCCTGGTGGAAGAACAGGAACTTCTGATCACAGCCCATTGTAAGGATTCTGCAGTTTTTGTAAAAGTACTTTGGACCAGTATCACCAGCCACTAGGGATGTGGAGCACTGAAACGGGGGCTCGTTTTTTAAAATATAAAGCTTTAAAGACATGTGCAATTCATATACAGGCAGTATCATTGAAGCCTTTGAACAGCCTTTTCTTTCACCATTGTCCTTGTCAAGAAGGGAAAATTCTTACAATATCTCCAATCAAAAGGTTACCTGCCTGAGACTTGACTCCTGTTCCTGAGAATCACCTTCTTGTAAAAGGTGTTACAATTCCTCTTTGGGCTGTCTTTGAAAAACAGCTCTTCCTATTTGGATAGGTCTCTAAATGCATGAAGAGTAATCACTCCAAGGCTGCAGGCAAGTGGTAGAACAGATGCTTTGTAGACTGAAGCTCCAGGTTTTCTCTCCAGGGAGAAGGTGGAAAAATTCCAGCCTGAACCACCAAAGAGCCATTGCCAGTCATATTAGATAGAGACATGGTCTGCATCAGTATATCATACAATTTCTTATGCTTTCAAGGCAAGAATCTTTTATTCAGTGGGGCTTACATCCAATTAGAGTTCCCACCAATGCAAGCCCCAAGTCCCTGTTTTTATAATAAATGTAGGATAATGAGGGCAGATTAAACATGGCACGTCTTTATCCAGAGCTGTAGCGGCTCTGTTATTTGTTTATTCTGTACAGGTGTTCACTACATGATTTTTCTCCTCCCCAGTTTTTCTGCATACCAATCCTGTGAGGTCAAGTAAGCTGACCAAGCGTGTGTGAATGGTCCAAGCTCAACCAATGTGCTTCATGGCTAAGTGGGAATTTGAACCAATATCCTCAGTACTGGTCAAACACTCTACTACTAGTTACATTTATGTAAAATTACAAAACCAATAACAGCAAACAGCAAATGACTCTTGAGATGCTGAACTGATAAACTTATATTCCCAATAAATCTAAAGATAGAATCTCAATTAACATATACCTATTTTGAGGAGGAAAAAACAAAACAAAAGTGAGCATGACAATACTATGTTTGTTTTTTCTGATCTGCTCCTCTCTAGATGCATTGAAGTACAATGTCACTTCCTTGTGAGATGGGCTGTGTCCAAATTTGAAATATAAATAAATAAATAAATTTCCATCATCACTGACAATAAACAATAATAACTGGGAATAATGGCAGTTCTAGTCCAACACACTTAGGGAGTATGAGGTTAGGGAAGATGTCACATACTTTGAATCTGTAGAACTGCAGCAATTCCAATGATACTCAAAGAACTTAGAACAATCTTAAGGTTTACCAAACAAGGCCATGCCCTTATTCATTTACACAGTACCTGCCATTGGTTTCCCAACATATAAGTTGCTGGGAAGCTCCGGAGGCTGCTCTTAATAGGTGAGGTGGTCACAGCCATTTGATACTGAGAATAGCTGTACAGGTTGCTGTAATAAGGATACAGGGATGGCTGGTATGAACTGCTGCAGCAGGTGGAGTCCACAACTAAGTCAGATGTGCTCTTTCGATGCCCTCTGCTGGCCAGGGAAGGAATGTCTTGAATTAGCATCCGTCCTGGAAGGAGAAAAAGAAAAAGAAAAGAGAAAGAACAGAACAGATAACCAAATATTAAATAACAGATGCAACCTGCAAAATCTGCTTTTTATCCCTCGGTACATTTCAGGATATTAACAGTTGTTAGTAATCATTCATTTTTGTAGAAGGTGCTATGCACAGAGACAACACAGCTATGAAGTCAGCTATATTGCAAAACAAATGGCTCTTCCAAAGGTACAGGATGTGCCCCGATGGCAGCTACTTGGCCAGCAAAGTTTTCTGCAACAATCTCTGGAACATTTAAGAACTGGGGGTCGCAAGTCAGTCCAAGCCAGCCTTCCTCAATTTAGTACCATCTAGATGTGCTGTATCACAACTCCCAGAATTTCCTATCAGCACCTCCACAGCTGGAGGGCACCAATACAGCCAAAGTGTCTCTGAACACATACAGTGTCTTTTCCTTTCCATACAGCAAATGGGTTAGATTTTTTTTAAGTGTACACTTTAAAAAAAGACATATTTGCAAATGCAATAATCTTGATACGACTATTGGTTTGTTTTTATTTAATGTGCAACCTGAGCCCATACGCTATACCTCATGCTAATGATGTGATCAGCTATAAGCTTTTGGGCTTTAGAAAATTAAATAACAGATGCCAATGAATGTCTGTATGTGTGAGGCACTGTCCTTGGGAATGTGCTGTCGATAAATCCTTCTCCTGTCACAGGAATAAATACTAAGAGTAAACTACATCATTAATGGCTGCATGCAGGTAGGGGAGGGGGGAGAGGAAATTTCAACAGTATTGTGATTAGGGAGGGAAATTTAAATCTAGTTTCCTCTCCACACTGGTGTTTTGAAAATAACTACACTGTATACTAAATATTTAATATTTTTTAAATTGCATACACAATATTATTGCTAGCCATGTCACAAATGCAACATGCTGCTAGGCTCTTAGCTACCTAATATAAATAATCTACCTCTGCAGAGGTTAAGAACTGTCTCGAGAATAGTCCCAAGCAATTCTCTTAAACCCCTCTGTCAATGATGCTTGAAGCATTGCCTTGTATTCCAAGGACCTAACTGAACTTCTAGTTCAGAAAAGAAGTGTCTCCTAATTTAATTATTTCCTTTGTATTTTTTAGTTTCAAGCCATCACTCTTTCTTATGCTGCTGCAAGCACTGCAAATAATACCTCCCCCTCCTTCATATTATTACCTCTCAAATATTTATAGACTGTTATATTCATCCTTAGTCTCTCTTTCAACAAGCTATGCATCATTTTTGTCATCCAAGTCTTGATCTACTCAGATTTATCCATGCCCGTTCACAATGTGATGCCACAATCTAAAGCAGGGTTCCAACAAAGGAGGAGAGAGGCTAAGTAAGGCCAAAGTAAGGCCAACTTTCTGATTTCAGCACTTCCACATCATCCCCATTTTCACCCCTCCCAATCTCACAAGAGTAATTCAAAGCTCACCTACATCCAGCTTCACTGCCACCAACCTGAAAACAACCAGTTACCCTCAGATGACTAAGAGTAGAATGCAAAGAATGTCATTGCATCAAAGCTCCACCATTCCGTATTTTTAGTTGACATTGTGTCTTTGTACCCAACTTCTGCTAAGAGAGAAGCTGCCAAGCTGCCAAAACACAGTCCCTCTCTTGCATTTAAAGTCCTAGAGACAGCAGTGCTTTGATTATGGCAGCAACTGAATCTCCACAGGAAGACAGAAGAGACTGAAGAGCACCCAGGAGCTGGGAGGCTAGATAAAGCAACCGTTATCGCCAAAGGGAAATTGGTTCACCCCTTCTCCAAAAACTTCAACAAAGCAATTGCCTTCATAACAACTTCAGATGCAGTGCAGCAGTACTGGAAAAAAAAATGGGTTCAACTGCCGAACAGAGATGAGAGCATGAGATCACACATTCCTAGTTCTATCCTGGAGAAGGGCAAAGACCCCACGTGGTACTGGCATTCATAGCTCATTTCCTTATTACAAACTGTACCCTGGGGAAACTTCCCAATGGCCTCAAAACTTAGGCCAGCCCTCTTCATCCCCACCAGATGTGTTGTTGACTACATTTCTTACACCTCCAGTTGCCAACGCACAGGGAGAGTGTTAAGGTAGAGAAGCCTGACAGTTGCCTAGCATTCACGTGGGCCATCACTTGGGAATGAGTGTTTCAGTGCACTGACTGTTAACTAAGAATGGAATGGCATGGCTACATTCGGCACACATGCTACATTTCTAGTAACCAATATGGCCAAGACAAATAAATATGCTAGATTTTTATTTGCCAGAGAAATGTCAGTGTAGGAAACAATTAACAGTTATTAACCTTAGCCTCTCTCAAAGCTATTTAAAGCTTTAACAAAATGAAAACCATCTACTATTTCAGATTCTGAATTCAGATACCTATTGGTAATCAACTAGCAATCATGAAATACCTTAATACCTTACCCTCCTTGCAAAACTGGTAGCTGCACAGCATCCCAGCTGAATCTTCCAAATCATGCAGCCCCCCATATAATGGATTACAAAACACTGGTCTGAAAATTTAAGTAAGGTATTTATGAATTCAGCACAGGTCTGCTTTCTCTCCTCTCTATTCTAAACAGCCCTTCCCGAGGTACTTCTCTGAAGAAGCACCATGAAGACTACAATATGTCCTTTCAATACCCAATCCTGTTAGTGTGAAGATCTAGCAATTCCAGCAATCCTTAAATCTGAATCAGTGTCAGCCTTCCCAGGTAGACCAGACAGGAAACACAACCAGATGAGCTAATTCTACTTTATTATAAGGGCTACATTAACAGAATCTTGCAAGTCTGAAAGTAAAATTCTCCTGCCAACATCTTTACAGCCCGATAACTTAGGGATGGTCCCTCCTGAGTTTCTTGCTCTACCCTCTATGCAGCTGTGGGCTATGCTCCCTCTTATCTGACTGTTCCCTAGGCAGCGTCTCTTCACCCAGTCTCCCAAGGTTATTCCTACATACCATTACAATCAGTGAGGCAAGACATGGAAAATGTTCTATTCCTAATTTTTTCCATGTCAACTTTTCCATTTGTGGAACTGTATGGTTTCAAATAATCCTTGTAATTTACTTAACTATAGATTTCAATCATTTAAATAAATAATCATGGATGATGTTTCCAGTATCGTTGATTTTGGAAATAAATATCAATCTTCCTCTTTTACACACAAGTTGTGCATATATATGCTAATTTCTACCACCCACTTACCTAGCGACCATTTTCACTCCAACAGTTTTTATCACATATGACTCTCTATGACTGAAACCATAAGCTACAGATAGCGAATGAACAAAGAAGAAATGTTGCAATTTTGTGTTTTAACATTAGCACCTTTCAGATACATCAAAATAAAACTCCCAGAGTTCTTAGTCAAACCATCAAAACCTCTGGAAGGTACCAAGTCTAAAAAGGTGGCTTTCCATGTAAATGATTTACATTTCAGATCGTATCTACAGAACTGCTCATGTAAAACTGTATACAGCATATAATAGTCTAATAATTAAAGTAGTCATATCTGTATGCCACTGCCTTCCTATAGGACTACAGGAAGTCCTCGACTTACAGCCACAATAGGGACCAGAAAATTCATTGTTAAGCAGTGAGGTTGTTAAGCAAGGCATCACGTGACCACACCCGATTTTACAACATGTTTTGCAAGAGTTGTTAAGTTAATCACATGCTTGTTAAGGAAATCAAATGGTTCCCCATTGATTTTGCTTGTCAGAAGCTGGCTGGGAAGGTCACAAATGGCGATCACATGACCCCGGCATGCTGCAACTGTCATGGTTGCTGGTTGCCAAGTGCCTGAATTTTGATCACATGACCATGGGGATGCTGCGACAGTTATAAGTGCGAGGACCAGTCGTAAGTCACCTTTCAGCACCGTCGTAACTTTGAATGGTCCCTAAACAAATGGTCATAAGTCTAGAACTACTTGTATGCAGGCGTCTTCCTTATCTAATTCATCTTTGCAAGAACCTGATGGGAAATGTTATTCTTTTCATTTTTTTTTTTTTTTAAACTTGCCTTGGTTTGGTGCATGGTTAACCAGGTGTGACTG